CAAAATTCGAGCAGTGGGGGACCCTGGAACTTAGGAAGCTCCAATCTGGCTGGGGGAGTTTGGAACCAATGGATATTGGACCACAGCTGATTGGTGGATGGAAGTCGGAGAAGTACTATGGCTTCGCCATTTGTTGCGATACATGAAACTTCGCTGAACCATGGATCGCCTCCCCCGTGCTGTGAATCTGGTGGAAAAAAAGAGACGGACGTATGCCATGGCACATCACCTTGACATGTTTGGTTCCGAAGTGAGTCCGAAAGAAACAGGTTCTTTTGAATTTCAGCGGAGTGCTTGGTACACGTTGGATTCGAGGCGTTGATTTGAACTGCTGAGGAGTGAGCATGATCTCGGATATGCCTATTGGGCACTGAATGGTCCCTTCACTGCAAGGCATTTGAGCACTGTTCCTTGTGAATCATCGCTTCCGATGAATCACCCCTGGCAGAAAAACTGATGTAGCGGTGATGGGTTTATTGGAGGATGTGTAGTTGTGGCCTTCAGCGCTTCCAAGGTGACAAGAAACTTGGTGAGGATGAAACCTTCGGCCTTTTGAAGCAGGAGACTGTGGGAAAATATGTCATGCCAGGGCATTATGTAGAATTATATAGTATTATCGAAGGAAGTTTAGAAGTCAAACTTCCGACAATATGGACAGATGAAAAGCAGAGCAGGGAAGAGGCAGAGAGAAGAGAAAGATTAGAAGAAAGAAGAGTAGAAGAGAAAGAGTCAGAAGAAAGAAGATGCAGATGCGAGAAAAGGTAAGAAAGTCGCGAAGCACTGTGTTTTTCCAATGATTTGGGGCTCCGGAGGGTCGAAAAGTAGGCTCGCTAAAGCGGCGGGTGCGGAGCCAGCTGGCCAGATGATATGTTGAAAAAGTGCACGGCGTTGTGGCGCGAAGCACATTTCGAAGTCAAAATGCATAAAGCACACGATTCTCGGACCACCTTTGGAAGTTGAGATGTTGGCGCGAAGCACATTTCCAAGTCAAAATGTACAAAACACCTCAGCGTCGGACCAAAAGTGCACGCCGTTGTGGCGCGAAGCACATTTCCAAGTCAAAATGTACAAAACACCTCAGCGTCGGACCACTTTTGGCAGTTGAGATGTCGAAAAAGTGCACGCCGTTGTGGCGCGAAGCACATTTGGAAGTCAAAATGTTAAAACACACAAGAGGTTCGGACCACTTTTGGAAGTTCAGATCTCGAAAAAGTGCACGCCGTTGTGGCGCGAAGCACATATCGAAGTCAAAATGTTAAAAACACCAGGGTTCGGACCACTTTTCGAGGTTCAGATGTGGCTTCGCTTCGCTTCACTACACTACATTACACTACACTACACTACACTCCACTACACTACACTCCACTACACTACACTACACAACACTACAACTACAACTACACTCCACTACACTCCACTACACTCCACTACACTCCACTACACTAAATTACACTATACTATACTACACTACATTACACTACACTCCACTACACTACATTACACTACACTACGCTACCTTCCAGTACACTTCACTACATTACACTACACTACACTCCACCACAACTACTACTACAACTACAACTGCACAACTACACTCCACTACAATACACTCCACTACACTCCACTACACTAAATTACGCTACACTACATTACACTACACTACACTACATTACACTACACTACATTACACTACACTACACTACGCTACATTACACTTCGCTACATTACACTACACTACACCCCACTACAAATACAACTACGACTACGCAACTACACTCCACTACACTACACTACATTACACTACACTACATTACACTACACTACAGTACATTCCACTACACTCCACTACACTACACTCCACTACACTACACTACATTACACTGAATGACGCTGCACCACAGATAGACAGGTAGACAGGTAGACAGATAGACAGATAGACAGGTAGACAGATAGACAGATAGACAGATAGACAGATAGATAGATAGATAGACAGATAGACAGATAGACAGATAGACAGATAGACAGATAGACAGATAGACAGATAGACAGATAGACAGATAGACAGATAGACAGATCACAGATAGACAGTATACAGATGAAAGATAGATAGAGAGATAGATAGATAGACAGATAGAAAGATAGATAATAGATAGATAATAGTAATTAGATGAAAGAGAGAGAGAGAGAGATAGATCGATAGGTAGATAGATACATAGAAGATAGGTTGGTAGGTAGGTAGGTAGTCAGAGAAAGAGAGAGAAAGAGAGGAGACCTCAAGCACCTTTCGGTCCATCAGTGGCTTCGCTCTGCCATCCCTGATTCACAACAACCAATCTCTCCTATAGGTTTCCTATTTTTGAAACTTCCGCCACCGCCTTGTGCGGTACTACTGGTATATATACATGTACATAGAATTATATAGAACATTGGTTGAGTGTCATGGCTGCAGAGTTCCCTGGTTACCTTTGATGTCTGCAGGTTGAGGCAGACATGCTGCAGC